AAAAAAAAATTTTGAATTTACTTACTTGTAGCCGGAGTTAGAGGCGGTCGGATACTTATGACCGCTACTGTATATATATATACAAATTGTAATTAGAAAAAATTTGTCAGATAAAAGATGCAAAATCACTTTATACGATGAAAAATTTAGAAGTTATGAAATATGATCAAGATGAATTGATTGGTATATTATGGGATAATAGGTATCATTCCCTGAAATTAGTGAAACTGATAATGAAAACTCATCAAGCAAGCGTCTTATATGTGTATATGATCACTCGTGACGTTCCAACGAGGTTCCATATTTATTTGTCCTTGTCATTTATAATATATATATAGATTTACCATATTAGCTTATTTTATTTTTAGTTGAAAAACCTTTTACGAAATGTATTAGATCTACATTTCTTAATGTTACAAACTGCTCAACTATTAAGACCTCATGTATATAATGATAATTTGCAACACTTTAATATTTCTCCTCCTCCAAATACTCTAAACTGGACTCGTGTCGAAAATGATCATGATGAAGCTGATTCAGACATAGAAGAAAGTCTTAAAAGTCAAGGTATGCATAGTTCAGATGAAGCAGAATCCACAACTGATGGAATAGTTCGAGGTGCAGGTTCAAGCAGGGGTACTACTAAAGGTGATAAATATATTAAAAGCATAGCATAATTTAATATTTTTTCTGAATTTTTGCTAATATTTTTTATTTTTCAGGTAATTGATTCAACTTATAAATGTAGTAATTGATTCAACATAAAATTGGTTAAAAAGTTAATATAAATAAAGAGAGAGATAGTAATAGTAGTAATTTGTAAAAGAAATTTATAATCTTGTTAACATGAATGTATAGCTAGTAGTTATGTTAATTTGTAATAATAAATTTAACGATTTGCATCATTTGTGATTAAATATGATATATCAAATAATCAAAAGTCAGTAATTCAATATAAAAATGCATAGTAATTCAATATAAAATACTCAGCAATTTGATATAAAAATGCATAGCGATTCAACATGAAATACTCAGTAATTCGATATAAAAATGCAGTGATTCAATATAAAATACTCAGCAATTCGATATAAAAATGCATAGCAATTCGACATAAAATACTCAGAAATTCGATATAAAATGCCTAGTAATTCGATATAAAAATGCTATCTGAATGTTATTTGAAAATTATATGAATGTTCGATCGAAATTTATGCAAGTAACAGTCGAACTGTACTAATTGAAAAACCTTTTAGTAATAGAATTCTACCAGCTTTTGGTTATAATTTGGGCCGAAAATGGCTATACAAAAGCTATCTGAATTGGAGTATTTTGACTAGTGTAATGAAAAGTTATTTATTATTATAGTATAATAAAATTTTATAATATCAAAAAATTAGATAAATCAGATCAATTAGGTAAATAATTCTTAATATTTTTCTAATTTTTCTAATATTTTATTGATTATTATTGCACACTATCACCTAATAATTTTATGTAATATTTTCTATATTTGTAATAATATTTATTATAATTCTCCTTCAATTTGAATTTAAATATAATAATAAGAAAGAATTTATCCTTAAAATTAAATTTGTTAATATTTTTATTTGTAAGATTTATTTAATTTTAAATTTTATAAATAATATGTAAATCTTATTTGCTACTTCTCATTAATAAGATATTATTAATATTTTAACTCTTTTATAATTTTCTTATATTTATGTAGTTATAATTGTAAATATTATTAGAAAAAAGTTAACTAATTATCTTTTAATGAATTTATTAAAAATAAATTATATATTGATTTTACTATTTCTATAAATTCTGTAATAAAAAATAATGTTATTTTTATGCATTTTTTTTTAAAATAGATTTTAATATAGATATAATATAATACTAATCAGATAATAATTAGAAAATACTTTCAGAAAGGATTAATAGTAGTATTTTTAAAGAGCTAAGTTATATTTTAAAATGTTAAATATGTTTTTTTAAATAATATTTTCTAAGTTTATTACTAATATTTCTAAATATTTTAGTTTATGACTTATTTTATTTGGTTAGTAAAGAACTATATATTATATTAAATTTTCTTCTTTATGTTTAAAAGTAGAATTATTGTATATTATCTTAATAAGTTAGATAGTTTTCTTTTAGTTCATTTTTACTTCTTGTTAAAATATTATTCAGTAATATTTAGTAAAAACATAATTCACTTAAAAAATCATTAACATGTAATATTTATTTTTATCTTTTAATAATGTAATTTTTAAATAGGTCTTAATAATTATTTCTTTTTATATTTATTAATTTTACTTTTTATATATGTATTTTTTAAAGTATTGAAAATAAGATTTGATTAAAAATATTATTATTAAATCTATTAATATACTTTTTAATAGTTTCTTTAAAAACTAAATTTTCATTTTTATGTTAATAAATAGATTAATAATACTATTTTAGAACTAATATTTAAAATTCATTATTTAAATATTTATTTGAGTTAAAGAATCACAAATTGTTTCATCTAGTAATAAAAACATTATTTTAATTATTTTATTATTATTTATTATATTGAAAATGTAAAAGAATTCTGCTAGGATTCTGAATAATCTATGTATAGGTCAAATGAAAATTTCAAAATTTACTATGATCAATAAGCAAACTATTTTCAACTCTGCTAAGCAAACTCTCATTATAACTTAAGAAAATTTGACTCTGCTAAGTAAACTGTTTTGTGACTTATATATATTAAGT